GGGTCTGACGGAAGATGCTAACTGTGATTGTTTGTCACTATTGATCAGACCAGCAGGCAGGTTAACTAGCCATATTTTTAATAGGTGGGAGTGCATAAGATGTACAACAAACTAAATGCTTCTTGATTTCAGCAGCACAAGCAGTCCAAACCAAGGCACTTCAGAGCCCTTAGAAAGCAAAGCCACCCCAAATAAGTGGTGACAATGTCTTGGTACCCAAGATAAGATGAAAGATCCTCAAAACCACCAATACAACAAAAACCCCAAAACAACAGAAAGAAATAACCGGTGGTTCTTCATTCGCTGAAAGCTCTCCAATAAGCCACAGTCCAAACAAAAAGTCTTCATTACTGTTTCTATCAACAGTTGGCACCACAAAATGACAAAAGATGTCTCTGAGAACATCAAAATATATTGGAGGCTTCACCTTCAGGTGTCAAAAAAAAAAAAAAAAAAAAAAAAAACAACACAACAAAACACAACTCCACATGTACAAGGCCATATATGCTGGAATTTTCCCAGGAACACCATGACACACCCCCTGTCGAGGCAAACACTCCCATGAAGTAACCCGACAGGCAAATCCTAAGCACAGTTAAACATTGGCTGCTCACCAAGGTACTTTGTCCCAGCAATGGGTGCTTTTCCACCCTGGAGTTGTGCAAAGCCAACAAGTCAGCACCACTGAAAAATGCTCCTCATGGCACAGTGTCTGTGCTCAGCAAGGAGGTGGCCGTTGTCTGCCATGCAGGAGGAAGCCCGACGGCACGAGCACCACGTGCTTGGCATCACACGGGCAGCTGCTTCAGCACAGTCTCTCTCGGTGCTGTCAAGACGTGCCGAAAACCAGCTGTACTGGTGGTTTGCCAAAAGCGTTTATTTCAAAGCTATTTGTAGCCTCCAGCTCTGAAATAAAGAGCTGTTCTTGCCTCTCACATCCTTGGATGGTTTCCACAGGTTTAGCCTGGTTGTCTTGAGACCAACCAGTACCTTTTTTGTCCCAGTAATGGGAGGTGAGTTTCCAGGCTTTATGAAGGTTTCCAAGGAGACAGATACAGCTCTTGTTCAGATAAATCCTTGCTATTATTAATCCTTTGGGTGATTTACCTACAATTTGAGATCAAAGATCATCATGCTGAGCCTAATTATTTTTATACAGAATGTGTATTTAGGACTAATGACCTAAAAGCAAGTAAGATTATGGACAGCACCTTCTTCAGATCCCAAAAGCAAAGACAACCTGCCTCAACTTGAAGCACCATGTGAGGAAAGACATTTAGAAGAAGACTTTAAAGATGTAAATGGCAGTAGAAGTTGCTGTCCTACTGGATGAAGTTCCTCATTTCCACCCCAGATTTGCTTCCAGATTTTATCTTCTACCCTTGTTTTGGTTTATCTTCAGGGTAAGTGGCATATTTGCCATCATGGAAAGATGACAATCAAATCTATTGCTACTGAAGACAAAATGCAATTAGATTTCTGTAAGAAGAATAAAAAAAGATCGAAGACCAAAGACAGCAGACACCCACTCATAAAACCATCTAAAAGTTTAACATCTTAACATGCAAAATTTACAGAGAACCTCATCTCATGTTTTGGGGTGTCAGACAATTCCTGTACCCATCAGGACAAGATCCTTTCAAACCAGCAGTCATCAAGTGAGGGCTAGAGCTCTCCCTTCCCAGCACACTGCTGCTAGAACCCTGATGCTCTTCTGATTGGACTCCAGGAGGACAGAAACAGATCTGGAGGCTGAATAATTAATTTTAAAAGAGCCTTTGAAAATAAACTGATTGATTAACTAAACACCTGCTAAGGTTTTCAGATAGCACCCTGATGGGAGCAGACATTTAGGATAGAGAAAAGTGAGCATGACTGGATGACATTTCGGCAAGGGAAGGTAGGAGGAGTCATACAGAAGGGCCTTTCTAGCAGTGAATTAAAGCTTGTGGGGAACAAGATGATACCAAAGGGATGTTGTTTGGAAGAGCACTACTACCGCAGACAAATGGTCAGCCAGTGTGGAACCAGTAGTTTTCCTATACTGTGAAAAGCCACACTTCATCTAAGTACAGATGCCAGGATGGTTTCTGATTTGTCTCTTGTCACTTAAAATGTAAGGACTTTTTCCCCCCTCCAGTATTTCAAGACATTATATGAGCCATATGGCCTCTGTTCCTCACTTTTTTTCTCCACAGAACAAGGACAGCAGCTGAGTTGCACTCATACAGATGCTATGAATATTGTTCTGTAAAATACTAAAGGGGCAAGAGAAGAGAGATGGGGTCTGTGCATGCATGGAGGAAGGCAGGCTCTGGAGCGCAAAGGAAGATCATCGCCCCTGTGTGAGGAGCAGGCTGCACGCACTGATGGATCAGTTTGCCAAGTATTGTATCCCTTGGGAAGTGCACGTATCTACAGCTTTCCTGGGAAACTCTCCATTTCACCACTTTTTCTCCCATATACCATATCCCCAGAAAACTCTTTATTTCAGGACAAGTGTCTTCAGCCATCTCACGGATCCCTTTTGTCAGCAGAGCACCCAGTTGTATTCGTGTCCTTCCAGTATAAGAGCGTTGGATGTGCAAATGCAATATTACAGACCCAGTCTGGCCAGAGGAGTGAAGCAACAAGCTCTCAGGCTTTATCAGAAAGCATGTTTGTCTCCACAGAAAGTCACATTTGTCTTGCTTCAGGAGATTTGAAGGCAAATATTGCACTGCTTTTTTATCATCTCCACTCCCACTAGATCTAGTTTCACCTCGGGTCCCAAACTCTCAGGCTCTGCTGACTTTTGATCTTGACGTTGCCCAAGGGAGGATGTCTGTGTCCTACAGCTCCATCCCCAGACTATTCTCTCGGCTATTTCCTCCTCTCAAACTCCATTTGGCCATTTCTCCAAACTAAATATACATACCCTTGGGCTCAATAGCAAGAGTGTAGTAGGGAGTCATGGGAAAACAAGATTCTATTAGCAGAAATGTCTTTTGGAAAAGTTTTAAAATCATTAGTTTCCAAGCAGATATGACTTAGTACAACCTAAGCACTTGAACTGCAGGTGGAGTTCTTCAAACTCAAGGTGACATTTGATATAGTGAAAAGCTGGACATGGAGAGAAGTACAGTACAAGGTTTTGACCACCTCTCCCTGGTCCTCATATTTCTTATCCTCTCTCTGTTTCGCCATTCAAGGGCACAGTAAGTGGACACTCACTACACGTACTGCAAAGGCAAAGCAGTTGGATAAACCTACTGCCAATGCGTCACGCTGCATGCAGACCATTGCTTGGAGGTTGGAACAAGGCTTGCTAGTGTTTGATCTTGCTTCTTGTGGGCTTCAGAGCAAACCATCTGCTGCTAACAGGCCACCAGCTCTGTGTCCTGGGGAACAGTGAAGGGGAGGGATGCACCCTGCTGAACACCACCTGGGCCACGGTTCCACACCCAGCACCGAGTGTCCTCCACCACTGCTTAATCACCCTTTGCATCCCTCTGCACCCTCACATGCAAGCAGCATCTTCTCAGATAGGTTTAATTCTATACTGCAAGGAATGTTTGCTGGCTCCGAGGAAGAACATGAAGCAAAGCAAAGGGCCAAGTTAATGCTGGGAGATTTGCTCCAAATAAGGTTTATGTAAACTATCTGGAAGATAAGAGTTGTCTGCTGTTTAGTTTCTTTAGAAAGCTATGGGGGAGGCACACAGGCCTGGAAACCCCACGGGAAGAAAATCTCCTAACAGGTTTTGTGATTTCCTGTCATGCAGAAAGCATGCAGAGCACAGGATCTCACTTGGCTTGTTCTGGCCTTCGTGATTGGTACAAACTCAGTAAGACATGAAAAAGCATTTATCATGCTCAGAACTTCATTCCAGCACCCACAGAGGCAATAAAGTTAAGAGAGTGACACAAATTAAGCTGGCATTTCAAGAGATTGCTTAAAGAAAGAAATCATTAAAAATAAAGAGAACTAAAATAAAATACTTCTTTGTCATGACAGGTGCTTCTCTCACCTAGCAAACTCCCCTAGTGCACACTCTGACTTGGAGAGGAGCTCAATCATGCTCCAGCCTGCCAAATTCATTCTGACAATCTATAGAAATATGTTTCTGCTTTGAATGTCACCAAAATGAAAAAAAGTCAGTTACATGTTTAAAAAAAAAAAAAAATTTGCAAAGCCATTGCCTACACTGCAGTACACTATCTTGTCTGAAGTCTATCAACCAGTAGAGAGAGATGGAGGTAGAACTGGGCAGCAGACCTACATACAAAAGCACCCAAACTAGAAACCCAGGCCAGTCTGTTCAAATACCACAGGACAGTGTTATCGCAGCCCAGGGCTGTGCCCAAGCCAACATGCTCCATCTTCAGCCTGGCCATGTCTAGAAACCTTGGAGAAGAAAGGACTATATGATTATGACTTCAGGATGTTTCATCACCTCACCCAGTCTCATGATGATCTGCAATGCAAGAGTACTGTGCAGTCATGCAGGGTCAAGCACAGCTTGTTTGTTTTTCCAGATTGCCATATACTCAAGGCATCTTGCCATGAGCTGAGCATAACCACTGCTGGCAAGGTCCTGCAAAGGGCATGAAGACTAAACCTCAAGCTCTTTAAAAAAAAAAAAAAAAAAAAGAAAAAAATCACAAACTTCTACTACTCCAGATCAAGTGCCAAGCCTGGAGAGCAAAAACCAGAAGAATGAACAGCCAGAAAAATGCAACAGGAAAAACCACCCTGTGCAAGGCAAGGATTGTCCTTTTGTTTGTAAGGCATCTAGAATATCTGGGGAGTGACTTGACCCTGCATTCACTTACTGATTTATGACCACTGTAATTCTAGCCAGGAGGGATGCCTCAAAGCTACATCTGTCATATGTATTCTCTAGAGAGCAGACTGGAGACCATCAGATGCGGTTCCATCCTTCACACAGGCAGAAGAGTCAGACAACACAGTACTAATAATGTGAGACTACTCAGTACTAATAATGTGAGACTACTCACCATCGGTGCTCCGCGGTGACCTATAATGGCTGGCTTTGGTCCTAGAGCCTTCTTCTCCATTATGCAAGGGGACGAGATGGTGAGGGGGACGAGGTAAAGTGCAACTACGACTGCGAGGTATGCAGTAAACATCAACATCTGAGAAGCTGAGATGGAAAAAGAGAGAAAGAACTGGTGAAAACATTGGTCCTGACCTCCTCACACCACAGGAGCAAAGTCAATACACTTTCATCTTCCTCCAGATGAGACACTGATCTACAGCCATTGTCCCTAGTACAACAGCAGAGCTCTGTGTTTAAGGAAATACATATTCTATTTAAAAAAAAAAAAAAAAAAAAAAAAAATCTTTGAGCTAGTCAAGTTCTGAGGGAGATTTTTCATTTCACTTTGTATCAAGGAAACAAAAAGTTAAGCAAATTGCTTAAAGTCCCAGCATTGTAGCCCAAAACACTTCTGATTTCCAGCCCTCTGGGTGACACAGCTCCAAATTTTGCCCTGCCTGACAGCAGAAATAGATCACCAGTTAAGCATATCTACAAATAAGTCATGACACCATGTCACTACATTTAATATCACTTGGGTTTACATCACTTGCGTTTACATTGGTAGCTCACCAACACCACCCATTTCAGCCGGGGTAAAGCCACTTTAACTGCTTTTGCATTAGGATTTGTGCCAACCAGAACTGAGTTAATTTACAAAAATATTTTATTAAGTTGGACATGTTTAAGTAAGTCCTTGGGTTGCAATGGTGCTGCATTCCCCAGGGTCTCTGCAAGCAACAATATCTCCAGGACTAGCAAACGCAGCGAGGAGGGTTCTGGCTGCAGCATTTGGGTCCAGATGAGCAGTCCTGCCTCCCACACCATGCCTCAACCACCTGCCTCCAACTACCAGTGATTTCTCAAAGTCCAGAGCATCTGGGAATCTTTCAGATGTGCTGACAGCACAACAGAAACACCCCTTGTTCCCAACAGGGGAAAAAAAAAAAAAAAAACTTAAAGGACAACAGGCACCTTTGAATTCCTGAGCTATTTGGAGACACTTGAAACCACAGGTATTAAAGCATAAGACTTCTTTTTTTTGTTACTACTATTATTATTTATTTTTTAAACTCATTAAGGCTTTGGAACTCGAGAGAACCTCCAAAAAAGTTTAAAACAAATATCTGCCGTGGACGCAAGATGCAGAAGGCTGTTTTTTTTTTTTTTTTTTTTAAGGGAAGGACAGAACAGCCCAGCTTTGGTCCTGACCACAACTGATCTGGTTTCACACATAAAATACTATTTGCTTCCAGCATCTAATAGCTTCATTCAAACATGTTCCTACAAGCCAGAAATTAACACTAGTAACTTTGCCAGCTAATTTTTCATCCTCTCTGGAAGAGATGTCAATCACCCACAGAGCTTTCAAGGAACTGAATGGCATCTTGCTAAGTGAGTTCATGCTGTGTCCTGCACCATAAAGGTATGATGCCCTGGATTTGCGCATTACCAGCATCAAAACCTCCAGACGGACAGAGGACGTGATCCTGACCCAATTCTTGCTCACCTCAGGAATACCACACACCAACCAGGCTTTGAAAAATCAGCTGAATTGTCAGCAAAGTCTCAGGCTGTGCAAAGAATCTGGTCCCTTCCCTTCCTGGTACTGCAGTTTAGGGATTAAACAGCTCAGATAAAGGCAAGCACCACATGAAACACATGGGCTTCCAAATATTTTTATCATTGGACTGCACCCATAAGGAAAGGATGCCCCAGCATGGGTCACAGACCATGTTAAAATGGAGCTGAAGACCTCACCCAGCCATGCACATGCAGGAACCGAGACCATGCACAGAAACCCAAAATGAAATACATGAATGAAATACAAGCAAAGTACAAACTTCAATTTGAGGTTGGATGGTCTGTATGGAAGAATCTCTCCTGGTGACCACCCAATCCAAGCAAGCAGGACAGATAAATCTCCCACTTTCTACAACATGACACAACACCAACGACATTCAGATGAAAGCCTTCCTTCTCCATTCCTCCAGCACTTAGTACACCACACCAGCCCAGTTTGGGCTCCTGGAAGAGCATGTTTCTCACACTGCCATTTGCTACTCAAGGCTTCCAGGGCTGCTTTAAGTCCAATGTTTCCTATCTGACCTCAGAAGCAATCTTCAAAAACAAGCTACTACTTTTTAAAACACTGCAGCTATTCAAGGCACTTCTGTTCTCCAGGTTCGGAAAAAGTAGCACAGAGGGAACAAAAAAAAGTGTAAATTTGTTCAGTTAAAAAAGCCAGTTGCTGGATTGTCACATGCTTCAAAAATTACAAGAACAGATTGTTGCACCAATGACTGCAGCTGCACCAGTTATTTCCAAAAGATTATTATTAGCGAGTGAAATCTTATTTTCCCATTACAATTGACTGAAGGTTCTCACAGAGATTTCAGTTCTTCTTTTCCACTTTTTAACACCACCATGTCAAACATATCTGTACCAAAACGTCTGTAAACTCCTCCAGGCTAGATACCTTTCACAAGTAAAATGACCCTGAAATAACTAAGATCTAATAGTACAGAGGAGATGAATGTTTTTCCTAAAAGCAAACAAACAAAAAACCTAACCCAGGAGCAGAGGAGAACAGCTTCCTAACTTATTAAAAACAAACAAAAAAGTCATTTTCAGGGAACTCAGCTGCAAGAGAAGTATGAGGAATTCAGAAGGAGCACATGCAGTCTCTGCTCTAGGAGTAACCACAAATCCTCCCTCAACTGGCAGCCTAATTACACGGTAGGACATATTTAAGAACCAGGTACAGCTTTATTGGCATATTTATGAATTAATGCAGAGCAGTTCTTTCTTTGAAAGGTCTCTCTGGATATCAAAATCTTTCCATCTACAGACAGAGTTTCCTCATTCTTAACTCCCACTTCTTGGAAGCCTTACACAAGTGCTGCCAAATCCTTCCAGGGCTTGTATTTTGCTGCAGGTTAAATACCAATTAAAATAATTTTTCTGGAGCTGGCACAAATGTCTGAGAACATCCATGGACACCCTGAAGAAAAACACTTCTGAGGGTAAAGGAGGATCAAATTATTTCACAAGAAAAGCTGGAGGAACAGCTTAGGCTTGGGAGAGGCCTGGCAATGAGGTGAGACAGGGGAGATGCACAGAACAGCTTACTTCAGTGGGTAGAACCATCAAGAAGAACTGTGTTCAGTGTGTCCTTCACCACTCTGCTCCCTTAGACCTTTGACCATGTCTCAACGTGCATTTAAAGAAGCACCTAACCATCAGGGGACCAGATCTCTACTGAGCCCTCTGGGTGCTACTGCATCACAAGCAACAAGTGCATGAAGGTTTTCAAAAGCCAGATCCACCTAGAAATGCAGGTGAACCAGAGCCAAGGAGGTGGGGGAAGGCAGATGTGGTTGTAAAATCCAGAGAAGGACACTGCAGGTTTCCTGTGGAGAGTGCGTTTAGTGCTTTCTAAAGCATACTGATGGAAATCTGGATGCTTTTATTCATTGCATTACTGAAAACAGCCCTTTCACCTCCAACTCTAGTGAGCTTCCAACCACAAAGCAGCAGCTGTGGGATCTGGATGCATCCCCAGACCAGATTCACCCACTCCAGCTTCAGCCAGATTACTCCAGGAGAGCATCCACCTTCCCCCAGCGTGGCTGAGCTGGAGGCTGCTGAGCCCAGGGAAGGAGCCAGCACTGCCTCCTGCCAGCTGGTTCCCAACGGGAGGTCCCACACCCCAACAGCCACCCACCAACCCCCGACTACCACGCAAGGACATGAGTGGTACTCACTGGCTTTCTCCATTCGTGCAAACTGCCCCGCTATCAACCACGACAGGGCCGTGACCGCCACAAGTGCTCCTATGTGCAAGAAAGGGGCTGTGGCCTGCAGGACACAAGAACAGGAGAGAAAAAATGATGACAAACACCCCAGCACCTTGAAAATTCATTGCTCTTGCAGGTTCCACAGTGCATCAGACCATTCTGTTCCCAGTTGAATTTCACACCGTTGCTACATCAGGCTCCTGCACCCATTTTGGCAGTCTCTTCTTCCAAACCCTACCATTGCTGTTGGCACAGCTCGCTACGAAGGCAAAGCACGAAAGCTCTAAACCCCTTTTTGGAGAAGAGCTCATCCAACAGCAAAAATATTTGGAAAAGGCCTCCTTAGACACCATGCAAATTCAAGTAAGACTCTTCGTGCCACTAAGTTTTAAATTACTCATGGTCCCATTGAACACTGGTCAATGGCTCAGTGTCTGGAGGGAAATCAGTGATGAGTGGTGTCCCTCAGGGGTCTGTCTTGGGACCAGTACTGTTTAATATCTCCATCAATGACAGCCAGTGGAATTGAGAGCACCCTCAGCAAATCCACAGATGTCACCAAGCGGTGTGGGGCAGTTGACACACCTGAGGGATGGGGTTCCATCCAGACAGAGCTGGACAAACTTGAGAAGTAGGCCCACATGGATCTCATGAGGTTCAACAAGGCCAAGGGCAAGATCCTGCCCATGGGTAGGGGCAACCCCCAGTGTCAATACAGGCTGGGGGATGAAGGGATGGGGAGCATCCCTGAGGAGAAGGACTTGGGGCACCTGCGAGGTAAAAACTGCCTGTGAGCCAGTAACTTGTGCTTGCAGCCCAGAACCCACCCGTGCCCTGGGCTGCAGCCAGAGCAGGGGGGGCAGCAGGGCCAGGGAGGGGATTCTCCCCCTCTGCTCCGCTCTGGGGAGACCCCCCTGCAGTGCTGGGGCCAGCTCGGGGGCCCCCAACAGCAGAAGGACACGGAGCTGCTCGAGCGGGGCCAGAGGAGGCCACGAAGATGCTGGGGGGGCTGGAGCAGCTCCCCTGGGAGGCCGGGCTGAGAGAGTTGGGGGGGTTCAGCCTGGAGAAGAGAAGGCTCCGGGGAGCCCTTCGAGCGGCCTCCCAGGGCTTAAAGGGGGGACAGGAAAGGTGGGGAGGTACTCTGGGTCAGGGGGTGGGGGTAGGATGAGGGGTGATGGTTTTAAACTGACAGAGGGCAGATTTAGACTAGCTATAAGGAAGACTTTTTTTTTTTTATTTTACAATGAAGGTGGTGAAACACTGGCACAGGTTGCCCAGAGAGATGGTAGATAATCCATCCCTGGACAAATTCCAGGTCAGGCTGGATGGGGCTCTGGGCAACCTGATCTGGTTGAAGATGTCCCTGCTCATTGCAGGGGGGTTGGACTAGGTGACCCTGAAGGTCCCTTCCAACCGAAACTGTTCTGTGATTCCATGAACACACTGGACTGTATATCACCATGGTGTGTCACCACGAGAGAAAGTTGGAGATGGATTCTCTGAGTCATGCTTCTGTTCTCCAAGTGCCTGCCTGAATCTTTAAAAAAAAAACAAGAAAAGGGAAGCACTTCTGAGAAATGTTAGTCACTTGTGTGAATGCTATTTTTTTCCTGCCTGCATTTGTGTATATTTGCACACTCCCAAATATACAGCTGTAATCACCAGTAAAATCGCTCAAGCCTATCATGGGCAAAGTGATTTTTGGACCCCTTTTTGAGGAACAGGAAAGAAACTGAATGAATATCAGGCCTATAAAGAAATTAACAGTTTGTAACTATTTTCCTCCAGTACCTATATAGCCCTGCAGCATACTACAATTTTTTTTTAAACAGGATTAGAGCACAGAATTTGCATTCTTTTTTAGATATATATAAATTTATGTGCAATGTATAAACAAACCCAGAGTACTCCTCCCATAACACTGTGAAGAGCATGATGCTCCAGGCCTGGACACCAACATCCAGAGCATTGCAAGCCAAACCAAGAGGAAGAATTGCCCTCTCCTTCCAGCAACTATGAGTCACACCCAGCCTCAGTATTTTCCACCTCAAACTCTGCAGCCAAGCCCTGGTTTGAGTCTAAAGGAAAGATCCCAGGAGATGGAAACAATGTGATATAGTGGCCTTGAGGACTCCATGGGAGTTTTGCTGCAAATTTTCTCATTGCCAAATTTCAGTATTGGGAGTGACAAACATCAACATGGGGTTTTGTACAGTAAAAAGACAAAGTCCATGACACGTAGCTCCAGTGGCCCCTTTCCCCACCCAGAGAAGCATCCTTGCAGACAACTTACTTGCAGTGAAATAAATACCATCTCCCATTCATCATCCCAAAGCTGTGCTATCGATGACATGGTCACCACAGTAGTTATCAAGGTCGTCATTAGGCCAATCTGCAACAAATATGAGTGTATTTACATACTGGAGTTTATCATTATCGTATAAGTTTTACAGATTGAGAAACAGAGAGAGAAAACTTTTGTACACAATAAAAGGCCTAAACCAACCAGCTTTAGGAGCCACAAGGGAAGTGGTTGGGCTTGTGTGTTGTCCCATCAAACCTCCCCTTTTCTACCACTGGAAATACAACACTGAGCTAAATAGTCCCAAGAGGGCACATCTCATGGATGGATCTCTCACTTTCTTCACACTGCGGCCAATGGTATGGAAAGATCAGGTTATTTTCTTTGCCAACAAACTGGATCAAAACCAGCTTAAATAGAGATCAGGTTCTGCCAGGCAACTTCAGGAGGTGATCCCAGACTCTCTTGGCCCTGCTGCAACAGCCTGTGATGCACCAGAGAGGAGACTTTGCTCAATTTGACTGTCTAACACTTTTGTTCAGACATAAACCTTTAACACACCCAACAGACAACTAACATTGCACTTCATAAAGGGTGAACAGGTGTGCAAGCAAGGCTGTGCATGCCCATCACTATGCAATCACACTGAGATGGTTCAAGCACACTTTTGTGCGTGGATGTGACTTCACATGGGCCCGAAATGGCAACAACCGTGCAGTCAGCATTCAAACCATGTTGACAGAGCAGTTACCACAGATATTGTAGCTTGAAAAGAAGCTCTGGATGAGACAGTGGCTGAACTGAGATGGCAGACCAAGATCCAGTCCATCAGCCACTTTCCCCCAGCATCCCTCTCCCTCCACATAGAAGCACTCAGAAATGTGAACAAAGCAGTCAAAAAGAAAACATCATCTCCTTTTTGAAGGTAAAAAATTCAAACCTTCAAAAACTGCCATAGAAATAACTCCATCTCTAAAGACTTAAAATCTGGGCTATCTATCAAAAAATAATAGTTCACCATTCTCCATCTGTCTGTCTGGTATCTCAGTCTGCTGCTCCACACGCCTGGTGGATTCAAAGGATGATGCTGCTCTATGCCTCGATCTGATGCACTGTCTAGATCTGAAATCTGTGTGGGACACCTGGGAAAAGGCCAACTGATACATAGCAATGAACTGATCATCTAGGATGCACAGGACATCTCTAGATCAATTTCAGATTTACTCAGTACCCCATACAAGTAAATAAAATAATCCACATTCCCAACATATACAGAAATCACTTTTGGACATAAGGACAGGATTTCTCTTTCTACTTTAGCCTCAGCTCCCACACGCTTTTCCTCTCCTAGATGCCCACAGGCAGACCTGCCAAGAGCACAAGAGGTGTCCACAGGACAGCAGTGGCACATGGGGCAGCAGAAGGGGCCAAAAGATCCAGCTGCCCTGGGTTGAAGAAGATCCCCAAGCCAAGATGTTCCATTCAGACCACATGATAACGCTAGACAACCCACTTCTGCACATCCAAAGAGGGACAGGAATTGCTTGCCTATTTAAAAGATGCCCCATAGTGAGCTATAGTGGCAAGCCACACTATTTCAAGAGAAGCCCTCATTAAGGTCTCTGAACTAATAAACAACAGTGCAATGCACACGGACAATTGCCCTTTGCATGCAGTAGTCATTCTGCTGCCCCATCCTGTGCTCAGACCTCTGGGCCACCTGCCAGAGTGTAACACAGCATACAACCCAGGTTGAACCTACTTTTCATCCACTTTCTATCCCCCAAATCTGAACTTCACCAGAAACCGAAGACTTTGTCAGCTAGATTTCTTCAGTACATCCTTAATTCCCCTTGGTGTCGCTGCCCTGTGCAGCACAGAGGTGTCAGGACACAAGTGAATCTCCATTCCATCATTTCCTTCTCTCATCAGCTCCAGTTGATTGCTTCTTACCCTCCCTCACACATCTCCAACTTAGCTTACAATCCTTGACTCTTTTTGCAGGATTACAGGAGAAAATTAGAAGGAATCGTGTGGTTTGCACATACCAGCCTTTCCCACATGCTTTAAATCTATATTTGAAGGTAATTCAGCACAGTTAGAGAATATTAACTTATTCCAGTCTCTTATCACATCCTCCTTAGAAAGTTGAAGGAGGTGTAGAGAAGGGAAGAGAGAGACAGAGCAATGCATATGAGTTGTGATGAAAGGGACTTATTTGGAAGAAGGGAAGGAAGGGTAGGCTTCTGTAGGCAAGAACTAACTGATCTCCACCAACACATTCCTCTTCTGGACTTACTCATCCAAACCCACCAGCCACCTGGAGCATGTCTGAAAAATATCATTTCCCCCAGTGAAGAAACATATGTTAGACTCAAGAATCAACAATTTATTTTCCAGCAGCAGTCAAACAGTCCCTGCCCCCTCTTTGCCTTGCATCTCTTCCTCCCAAGGAAGCATAATTTCTATCATTTCTAGAAAAATAAATTTAAAAAAAAAGAGAGGGCAGGGAGGTCTGTGCTCTCCCTGTTCTGGAAGGTGGTACATCTGCTCAGGCTCTGATCCTATGAGACCTTGCCACATGCAGAGTGACCAATTTCAGCAGGAGTTGCATACCAGCAGATTCAGGACTGGTCCCTTAATTACCTATTAGCAGATTGCCAATTACAATTTAATCCTGCCAAGCCATTTTCTTTGGCAGTGTCTCTCCGTGCAGCTTGCTACATACCCTTCCTCTCCCCTTCTGCGTTCCAAATGCCAGATCTGCATCTTTTCTTATATTTCACAGCAATTTTTCAGATTGCTTTACATACGAATCAGGACCTCCTTGCGTTCCAGCAAACCACAACCTGCACACTGCACACCCCCAATTTTAACACCTACATCTTCTCCCAAGGCTTTTACAGTCAGTTCCTCCAAGCACGTCCTGAACAGCTTCACATCCACTCAGCCCCTCCTCCAGGGCTGAGATCATCACAGAAAGGAGCACCAGAGAGGTTCATAACGCAGTACCACACTGAGCCGAGACTCAAGTCAGGCTGCTCTAATGACCCAGTGTTTCCTAGTCTCCAGAAGCGAGCCCTTTGTCAGCAGGGACCCCATAGTATTTCACCAAAGCCTTTGTCCCCAGGCTTTGATTGCCTCTACTGGGCCATTTGCTCAGTCCTCCAAGATGAGGAGACATGCACCGCAGACGTCTACAATTTATGCTCTTCCCAAAGAGACCATGACAGTGAGTGCCACATACACCACCTGCTCCTTAGACTCCCCTTTTTTTGAGATCCTCCTCATTTCAAAGCTGAGAAGAGCCATTTACCTTGTGAAGCCAGTGCAGGTTCATTTGCTGTCCCACAGCTATGTGACATAGAGCTAGTATCTGGGAGGAAGAAATCAAGAGTCAGACATAGGCACATCACAACCTTTTAAGTGTTTGAACTTGCAGGAGCATACCACCATCCACAAAGATAACCAAAAAGTCCAGGTGACAAAGCAGGGCTGGAGTGAGGATGGTCCAGCAGATACCACCTAGCTCAGTTGTACAAACAGGTCCTCTCCAATGTCAAGGGTGTGGAGGGAAAGACTTTCACCTCCAAGAAGTAGGGAGTTGAGATTCTGGTCCATGGGTGCACAGCTCCTGGGACTGCAGAAAGCAGTGCCTACATGGGGCCAGGCATGCTACCTGACTGGACACCACCTTGAAGGCCCCAGCACCCTGGGATGAGGGGAAACAACTTGCATTTGTGACTGGCAGATACACCAAAATGGAAACTGAGCCATCCTAAGAGGAACAAGAGTTGTGCTTCTCCTCAGGCCAGCTGCATCACTAGTATCAGGGTCTCTGTCTTTGCTCTTAATCATCTGAGGTCAAAGACCATGCATTTTTCACTTTCCATTTATTTTAGACAACTTAAGGCTGAGAAAGGAAGAGAGAAATCACTTCTGAAAGGAAAATTGCTCAAGTTGTAGGTGGACTGAGAAGTTCATGCCCTTTTAAAACAAACACAGACTTCTATGAAACGGCATTTTATTCTACTCACCAATAACACTGTAATGTACGTAAAGCCAGCAGCAGTTGTTACAAGTATTGGAATGGACCAGTCACTCCAATATCCCATTCGGTTATATAAAAACCTGAAAGATAAGCGTGAAGTACAGATTAAGAAGAGATTCAACACCATAGCAACTTCACTAGGATTAGACAAAACTTTATAAAACGGGTCTTTCTGTTCCCACTGTACAGACAAGAGATAGGCAACAAGAAGCACAAGTCACTCAAACAAAACACAGTGTTTGTGCTTTGATCCCTCGTGGGAAATTAATTATGCAGAGGAATCAGACAAGTATGTCAAACACAGCAATAACATTACATCGAAAAAAAAAAAAAAAAAAAACAAAAACAAAACAAAACATACAGGACCAGGACTTGAGCTTTCTGAAAAATATTCCCTGCAAACAAGAAAAAAGCATCCCCATGTGTGGTGGTGTTTGCCTAAACAATAGAACCAGTGCTGCCCCATGTGCTCATGGACTAAAACACAATATAGAGATAGTAACAAGGAGAGGGGAGGAAAATTAACATTGCTGTGCATATCTGTGCTATATCATAGAATCACAGAATGGTTTGGGTTGGAAGAGACCTTAAGGTCCATCCAGTTCCAACCCCTGCCCCAGGCAGGGACACCTTCCACTAGACCAAGTTGCTCCAAGCCCTGTCCAACCTGGACTTAAACCCTTCCAGGGAGGGGTCAGCCACAGCTTCTCTGGGCAACCTCTTACAGTGCCTCACCACCCTCATAGTGAAGAATTTCCTCCTTAAACCTAAGTATATATCCTATACACTCAAGGTGCAAACTCTGCAGAGGGACAAGGTGATGGAAGAAACTGGGTCTCCTGTACCTATCAAAGATAGTGTCTCTTATTCAAATGGGATATAGAGATGATCCAATCCTGCAAGAATGGACACTGCCATGAATTTGGCTCAGGACTTCCCAAAATGGGACTGGCTAGAGGAACTGCATCCTTTTCACTTTCTCATCTTCAACTAACTGAAGGGTTGGGTCTGCCCAGCCTGAAGGATGCCTGTGGGGTTTTTTGGCTCAGTGGGTTTTCTTCTGCTTCTTCCATTTACCTTAGAGCTCTAAGCAAGAGATGGGCCATTCAATGGCTCTGTGATCCAGCCTTGGCAAGAGGCAGCAGCACTGTCCTGATGTGCTGGAGAATCAGAGCAAGGATTGAAACGGAGCTAGAGCAGTACTGAGATACAGATGACATCCTACAGATGCTACCAGCACGTACCTACAAATCTGATCCTACAGATCTCCAAAGCATGTACCTCCAAAACAGCTTCTTTGGTTCCTCTGGGCCATTGCTCACCAGTGAACTCCCCACTTTCCCTGGGCATATGCAGAACAGTTGCCACCTCATGAAGGCTTAGCACCACAAAAGCATAGCAGCCAAACATTTTTTCCTACAGCCTAGTGATCACAGCACTGCTCTAGGAACAGAGAAACCCACGTTCATGCCCTGCCTTAGATTTGGGGATTACAGTACTGTTCCCCTACCACCTCCCCAACCAACAGGCAAAGAGGTAGGCTTCATCCTCTTGCTGAAGCTGATGTTTTTTCTTTCCTCTTCTCCTCTATTTATCCAGGTATCCTCCCCACTCTCAGTTATCAAGTTTCCCAACCCTGTATTCCAGAAGGCAGATTCAGCTCAGCACCCTGCCTCTCCTCATCACTTTCATGAAGGCAAAGGGCAGAAAAAGCTTTATGAACAGGAGCACCAGGCAAAGCAGACCATTATTCACAGCAGCAGCACTGTCCCTTGTGCCTAGCATTGGGTCTCAAATGTCAAATTTGCATTTAAATAGCAATATTATTCCCAGTGAAACTGCCCCAGAGTTGGATTAGAGAGTCATTAAAGCACATTTCAGCAAAGCCACAGCAAGACACAAGATAGACTCAGTCAACTACATTCCCTGGCCAGAAATGCAGTTTCCCCCAGGCTCTACCTCACCAGAAGAGAGGCAGCCAAATCCCAGAAACCTTCTTGCAACTTCTGAGAGTTCAAGCCTGACTTGGATTAAAATTTTTTCCAGTGGATTTTTAGAAGAAAAAAAAATTTAAAAATCACTTTTAGGCTAATTTTATATCCATGCAAATGTTCTGGTGCAGCAAGGACGGGATGGTTATGGGATGGGTGATGCAGAAGGACTTCTCACAATGTGCCCAGCAGAAGCATGAGCTCTGGAGCAGTGCCTGGCTGCTGTCTCTCCTGTGCCCTTCTGAACACAAGGGCTGCATGAAGCCCATCCTGATTTGTCAATCCCAGGACTGAGTCCTGCTGAAGAGGAACAACCAGGTTCAAAACACACCTGAGCGGAGTCTCCATATCTCACTGTACTAAAGGATTCCATAGCAGAGTAGACATTGAGCTTCAACATCTGACAGTGTGGGGCTCAGGTTGAATGGTCCCACTTGCCCCTCTCAGCCCTACACATGAGCTCATTCAATGAACTGGCCAAGGCAAGCACCCAGGTTTTTTGTCGCTTTTTTTTTTTTTTTTGGTTACAACAGACACAAATGCTACATGCAAGCAAGTCGAAGACTCAATCTCCCCCCACCACTGGAATCCATCATCATTTATCAGCCACATAGTCTGGTCAGGCAACTGCCCCATCTATTCTGTCCAAGAGTAAAGCTCCCATGTAGGTATCTGGAAAGCAAATCCTTGGGCTCAAATATAACCTATGTCCAGGTTCTGCTGAGGGATTCAACGAGTCATAAACAAAAAGAATCTGGAGAGGTTCAGATATGCTGTTAGTAAAAATAGGGAAGAAAGGAAACAGGGCTTCTATGAAGTCTTTGCTCATGCCACCAAGAGATTTCTTAGTTCAGCTTCAGTACATTTAAGTTTTTGCTCTGATGTCCCTTCAAGTGGCCCTCTAAATAGTGTCAGGTCTTCACTTGATGTGCAAATAACTGTTTTTAAATGGTGTTTCCATGGTAGTTATGAACCAGACAAGCCTTCTCCAGAACTAAGGAAGAAAAAATTTGCTACACAGCCTTGCATTTATAGTCCTGCTCCAGAGGGAACACAGCCAGGTTCACAAATTACATCTCCCACATCCTTCATTAACCGATGTTGAGCTTTCTGTTGCAGTGCATAACTTGCAGACTGGAGATCAGAAGTATAATGCAATTAGGTGTAGACACCAAAAAGGGAAATGCTCAAAGCAATAAATTTAAAAAATATTTACTTAAATTTAAGAAGCACAAAGCCCTTTCACTGACAAGAACCTCATTGCATATTCAGCCTCACGGAAAAAAGTTTAAAAGCCTGCAGCAATATAAGCTGAGCTATAATTTTGCCTTGTCTTTCTAAAGCCCACTTCAATCCCAGAATAGTCCCTTAAGTCTTTAAAAGTTTGAAGGCCAAATCCCCACCTTTATGTAGTTGAACACCATCACTGCCACAATTTAATTAAGTCGGTTTGGTTTTACATGGATAAGTGCATCCACTGCTGGAGCCCAAACATGCTACCTGAACCACAGGCAGCATTTGCTGTGCTCATCTGTAGGTTTCTGCTACCTCTTAAGCCACCTCTAGCAGCTGCTCAGCAGCACTTCACAAAGCTCTGCACATCTGGGTTAAGAAACTAAGAACATCCTAATAAATTCAGGTTCCAAGTACCATTTTGGCTAAAAGAACAAAGAAAGGGATTGCAGCTCATCATGAAGCTCCATTATTCTAGTTGAAACTACATTAGCATGCTAATAACCTTGCCAAGAAGGACCTGGGGTTATGGAGGACATGAGGAATAAGAAAACATGGTACCTCCACTGTGAATAAGTCAAAAGACTGGGTGGCATTAAGAGAAGTGTCACCAGCAGACCAAGGAAAGTTGCTCTCCCTTCTGCTCAGCACTGGTGAGGTGGCACCAGTACCACAGTGCCCTGGTTTGGGCCTCCCAGTTGAAGGAAGATGTGTGGGGGGTCCAATGCAGAACTACCAAACCAAGGTGGCGAGGCATCTGGGGAACACAGCTTACTAAGAAAGCTTGAGGAAGCTGGGCTTTTTTAGTCTCAAGAGGGGAGTCTATAAGATGATCTAACTTCTGCCTACACTTGTCTGGCAGACAGTTACGAAGTTGATGAAATGGAACTCTTGAAGAGTGACAGACACTGTCACAAAGGCAAATGGCCCTCAGAGGTTTGGGTTGGAAAATCTTCTCAGAGATGGTGGTATAGTGCTGGAACAAGTCCCAGAGAGGAGAGGAAGTCTTCATCCTTGAGGTTTCAAGACTTCAGTCGATCTGGTCTACTGCTGGCAATAGTCCTCCTTTGAGGGGCTGGTTGGACAGATGCTTTCTTCACCTGCTGTGGTGTGACAGGTCGAAGAAATTCAGTGTTGTTGCCTGCATGTGATGTGAGGAAGGATAGCTCAAAAGGATGAGCTTTGGAGCACAGGAATAATCTCAGTGGCTCATCACACCAATGTGACACCAATTCTTTGTCCCAGTTCCTCCAGGGAGCCCCTGCCAGTAGCTCGGCCTGCTAGGTCCTGTGCACAGATGGCATTTGCCCTGAAGAGCCCTTCCTCTAGTCTGAAAGAGGTCATGGCTTGTAAATAAATCAGTGGAGCAGAGAAGGCAACAGGAACAATTATCAAAGAAATATTGTCCACAAGTAAGGCCCAGAAGTGATAGCCACTGAGGAACAGCAAAAATGGGGTTTCTAAGAGCCAAGACTTCACTGTATCTCAGCAGCAACGGGCTTACAGCCTCGTTGGGACCAAAATGATGCTTTCATCTCCTTTACACCCCCATTTGGCTGAAAACTGTTCTGTTTTAATGGAGCCCACGCATCCACACTGGGAGGGAAAAGGGCCAGGCTCCGCCTGAACAGACCCAGTGGAAATTGTTTCCTCTCTGCCTGGAACCAGCACCGCCGTAATTAAAACCTCGCCCCATGTTATCATCCTCCCTCCCAGCCTTTCAGGCTGTTTTTTTTTTTGAAACCCTGCCGTTCTCCTCAACCTCCAGTGCCAGTGCACAGAGCAGGGATCTAATCGGGGTTACAGCACACACAAAACTTTGATCGTTTTCAGCATGGAATGGCAACACCTGAATAGATATAGCCTTGCTATTTGGCATCCAGAGAGCCTCTTCCATGACTGTTGTGCACAAGAGGGCTTGCTCTTCCAGTGCTGTCAATCCAGAAGCACTTCTAGCACCAAGTGCACACTTGGTTACATGGTAGGGGAAGGGACTTTAGTCTGCAGGTGACACCTGGGGGCTTTTTACAACCCATATACCTCTTGCACCCAGAGGAGACCTGCACACCTCCTCCCATTCCTGCATGAACATTTGGGAACCCGGAACTTTCCAGCACTGCAGCTGCAATGCCCACCTACAGTATTCCCAGGGCTTTGCTTCATCTCTGCATGATTGGTTTTTTAGCCCTGTCTCAACTTTGAGTAAAGACAGACTTGGCATTGCACTGGAGCAGACAAGGAGCATTAACATCCTTTACTGAAGGTATAAACTGAGAGGAAGAGGAGTTCCAAAATACCCTTAATAAAAATTAAAAAAAAAAGGCTCTTTTTTCATGCTATTATAATCAAGAACAATGGTGATGGTTTCAGTTCTCAGAGCATGGGTCTGAGCAAATAAAAAAAAAAAAAAAAAAAATCACACCCCTGCGAGGCAACAGCTCACATCATTAAGTTGGTAAACACTCTCCCTCACACAACTTCAACATCTAAAACAGGTGATTTATTTAAGGGATCAACTACCCACTTCATTTTAAAATACAATTTACATATTATGTCTGACAAGAAGATGATGTCAAAGCAGTTTGGTTAGAAGAGAGCCCAAAGTACTGTCAAAATGTTTTAAGATGCTGCTGAGATAGTAAAAGGGAGAATAATTTCCAGCACTGGGGGGAGCTGGCAACAACCCAAACTCCCCAGCACATCCCACTGGAAAGCTTGTTTTCAGCTCCTTCCAACTTTGCAAAATTTTCCACACCCATGTCTGCTTCAGGCTGAATTTCTGTCATTTATATTTTGTGGAAAGTCACAGCCAAATTGCTCAGCCACTTCCAAAAACAGCCAACCATAGAAACAAACAAACAAACCACCAAAAAGCTTCTACGTGTTTTCAGCACAACCTCTGTTTTTGCATGCTGTTCACCAGGGAGCACACCTACCCCAAACTGTTACAGCTATGCAATGGAGATGTGAGGACACATTACATCTACCAGTGAAGACCTACAGAAGCAGCTCTCCTTCGGTCTTCACTTCCCACCCCATTTTCCCTTTACTGTCGTTAACAAGTCCATCTGAAGGACCCAAATGCATCCAACACAATGTCAAACAGTTCTTAGAGGCATATGACAATCAGCCAAATTTGTTAAGGGTTTGCCCCTCCCACAACAGGGAAACTCCACTCACCAGTTGATTTCATTGTAGTCATTGTGAACTTCCCACCAGAAATAAAACCAGACCAGGGTCAGGAAGAAGGACGAGGTGAGGATGAGGAACCAGAGGCGCTCCCACTGCAGATGGAAAGAAAAGTCAGCGTCAGTATTATCCCATTCCAGGGCCAGTTCCCCGTCCTGTCCAACATCTCATCTAGAAGCTCTTGAGATTGGATGGAGCCAGTAGACATTTCCAAGAGCAGATTTCAGACCTTCCTCCTCTCGGGGTGGTGGAAGATTAAACCCCGGTCTCCATCTCTGGGCTCAAGTATCACTTATGTACATCCATCTTATGTAGAGCTGGGACAGCATTTCTCCAGCTCTTGGGGCATGTGGAATGAAGGAGCATGTCTGGATATAGAACAGTTTTTTGTTTAGTTGGAGTTTTGGGTTTGGGTGTTTTGTTTGTTTTGTTTTGGTTGTTTTTTTTTTTTTTAAGTTTCTTTTTTTTTTTTTTTTTTTTTTTTTTTTTTTGAGACAATTGTTTAATTAACTTTTCCATTCACCTGTGAGAGATGCAACCTAGCATCTTACCCTCTCATGGGTTCAGCCTGAATGACCAAGTAGTAATCAAATGGCAAAGACTATGCAGCAGGTTAGGGATGATGCTACTCCTTCCCCCCAGGGCACTCAGATCCTGCAGAGCCAAACCACCCACCCGCAACATTTATTCCCACCACCACCACATATGCAAGTATTTTGCAAATAATACAGCAGCAGAAGAGACCACACCAGCATTGGATGAAAGAGATTTGCACTGACATTCAGTTTTTATGAATGTTTCAAATAATACTACACATACACATCCCCCCTAAAAAATAATCCCTAAAAACATCTGTTCAGTGTCCCTCTCCAATAGTATGGGTAAAATCCTAAACCACAATGACATACATGAAGAGAAGGGTGTTGCAAGACAACCATCCCTAACCAGCACCATTTCCACACACACAGTGTTAATTTTACTTTGCAGGCATTAAATAGTCCACATATGTTTCTGTTTCAACTAACATCCAGTCTGTTTGGAACAAAACACTTAAATCTTTTATGGAAAATATTCAAATGAATCCTCTCTTCTCAGAATGAGCAAGAAGTGATTAAAATTGAAAATGTATATGGAGCAACACTACTACTATCGTTTCCTTCTAGACCCTGAGCACAACATTAATCTTTTTTGAAAATGCCCTTTTCTCTAGTGAACTGTCTCATGGCTTTTCAATTATAAAGAACAACGTAACCAACATAAACACTGTTTTGATGATAAGAAACACTACTATTCTTTGTCTTCCCTTTCCATTTTAGGGACTGAAGCTATTTACTTAACTGTGTATTGACTATTTTTCATCATGCATCACCCTGGATACCAGTCTTGTGATACAGCTCTTCCTTGTATGCTCCATCTTACTGAAAGTGCCAAAAGAAAAAGGCAATAAAAAGTGTTGGAATTATTTAATTTTTGCTGTGCCAAAAATGATATTTTCTGCTAGACATTCCCAGTTCTTGGCTGGTGTTACAGTTATAACATTTTTTCAACTCAGCTCAAGTTTGTTAGCCAACTTCTGTCAAACCCCAGTAGCAGCAGGTGCCTAAGTCCCATGAGGGGCATTGTGCTCCAGGTAAATGGGGCAAGAGAGACATGAAAGAGGTACAGAGGAACTTCTACAGTGCAACTACTGAGTATTTTCAAAACCACATGGCCAAACTGCTCTGCCATGATTTTAGAGACTATAATCTCTCTACTTCATGTACATATCTACCCCTACATTCACAGGTGAGCTCCTGGAGGGAAAGCACTGAGGCTGGAATGGGGCTTTTCCCCCCAAACACCCCACCTTTGGTAGCAGGATACCAGCCACAGCAGCTATGTCAGCTCCATAGCCAATACCAGCCTTCTCCAACCCCAAATGCAGCAGCAAGGCTGCAACATCCCACCATGATGAACCTCCTCCACACCAACCACCACCGCACAACCAAGCCAACGCTTTCCAACCAAGAAGTTTCCAATTAAAATCCACCCACAGAACATCTGGGTTATATAAACACCCAAACCAAAAACCACTCACACCTTCACTTCATCCCAACAAAATTCCCCAGGAGGAAGCAATTGCTAACCCTTTCAGCAGACTATGACTATTTTCTTCAGCTGCCTTCCAAGTCTGCAGACCTCCAGGCTTTTAAACCTCACTTTCCCTATTGTTTGATGGTCTTTTGACTCTCCATTTGGGTCTAACGCATTCTTGCACTTATCAGCAACACTGCTAAATCTATTAACTGGACAGGTTTTTGCAAAGCAAGTGAAGTTCAAAGTATCTCAAGTGCTGAAGACCAACATTTCTACAAAAAGAAAAATTCCTCCATCTCTTTAAAGGTCACTGTGGGATAAGCTTGGCCAGCATTTAGGCACTGGATGACACTGATTTTATAAACAAGCCAAGGAAAACATTTCAGAACATGTTTGGGCTTTTCCCTTATTTTCTCATATATTTTTTGCCCTCTCCCCACCACTCATTTACCTGCAAGTAGCATAGCTTGTGTCAAGCTCTCCAAAAGCTATTTTTGGCTTGTCCTTGATGGTGCACTTGCCAGATATATTAACCTGGCTGATTTTATGAAAACCCAGTCAAATTCTTCAAGGGTTGAGATACTTCAGTGAGTTCAAGCACAGTTCTGGGTGGGCTTTCAGAAGAACAGGGAGCATCTTCCCAGCACCACTGATGCTATTCAGCACAAACTGAACCAGAATCTGAACCTGTGTGACTCTGACCTATGTGCACAATATATTGGATTTAACCTGGATCCTGTACAACCTCCCTCCAACAGCCCCTCACCAGAAGAGCTTTATAGTCCCCTCCTTTGAAAGGTCCCACATGCTTTAAAGTTGAAATCCGCAACGTGCAACAGCTTCAAGCCTCTACTGCCAAAAATAAATACTTAAAATCATGTCATCCTGATCACTCAATCACAGCCACAAGTAGGTGGAGGAAATGGTGCCACTTCACCTACAGAAGCGCAGGCAGAACCTCTAGAAAGTTTGAAGGTGTTTGAAAAAGCATCTGTATTTTCAGCTCCATAGGATTTTATGAGAATGTCAGCACTGACATTTTTGACAGTTCTTCCAGAAAACCTTCTCTTCCCCCTCTTTCAGTTTCTCTCTCTTCACCCTGGGACAAGATGGACATGCTCACTAGTTACAAATTACTTGCACTAAGCTTAAACATGCTCAGCTCACTCGGTATTGTTTTGCAAATGAACCTGACCAAGCACATCTGCATTAGCACCTTCATTCCTATCAGGATGCATTTTGGAAGTAGCTCACTGCTTTGTCCTGCTTTCTGTGCTCTGGTTCACATTATTAGAGGACTTTGGGTGAAGCTAAACCAGAAGATGTGCTCCAGGAGCGAGTCCAATGCACCTCAACTACCAATGGGCATTCAGTCCGTAGGACCAGATTACAGCTAGTCCTGAGTGACCACATGACCACCTCCAAAATGTTTGGACCGTGTATGTCAGGATCTCGGCACCAACTACCTCCTTCCACAAACCTCTTCTTTTGGGCTATGCTATTCACTAATGTGGATGTAGCCATGATGTCTTACAAAATGGCACAAAACAGTATTAACCTCGTTATACCAACATTTAATTTTAAAGGAAAACAAAGAGTCGCCTTTTTCCTCCATCTAAATGGCCAGAGAGGACCCATATCATGCGCTCAGTTAACATCAAAAACAAGGCTACCTGGTATATGGAAGAATTTTTTTCAGAGCACAACCACTGAGATGTCCACAGCCCAAGGAAGGATGGAGACAGTATCAACTGAAATAAGTAACTTTGAAGTAATAATAATTAAGAGTCAAGCACAGGTTGAAGATACTGCACTGCAGTAGCACTTTCACGAGCAGACATCTTACACATACTACTGTGCTTGTGATCTCAGGTCTACTGTGGGGCCACTTCTAGCAATGGGAGTAAGATTTCTTACTCCAAGAGTATTTACAGACATAATCAGATGAGCCCCAAAATGAAACAAAGGAAGACTGAGACATGTCACCAAGTTGCAGTGTGTATGTGATTTTTAAAATTTTTTTAATTCACAGAATCCTTAAAAATAAATAAATAAAATCAGTGTTTCATCCACATTCTCCACCACTTTTTGTGCATCTTCAATCCCTACCCTAAATCTGGTGGGAGCATAACCAACTCCAAAGTAAGGAATGATGGCAAAAAAACACCAGATTAAAGTAATTTGCCACAGAAAAAGCCAATTTGTGATTCAACTGTGAAGTTGGCTTGCACATTTTACCTGCTTTTGTGCTGCAAGCTTTAATCTTACTTGTCTGAAATAGCTCTGAAATTCGTAGCAGAGAGCACAGAAGAGATTTTCCAATTTGGGGACTCATTTTAGTTAACTGAAGTCTGCGCCAGCCTCTTTTGCTGCAATTCCCCAACCCAGATGGTCTCAGCATTATTTACCACCTGGCACCGGTGGCACAGGAAAGCAGGGAAGCTCAGGAAGATAATTTTATTTCCTGTAAGTTCTGTAGGAGTTATTATGAAGTTCATCTACATACACACTCCCACCCAACCCTCCTACAAGGACTACTTCAATTTAGTGAAACTTGCTATAACAGAAGCAATGAGATTTCGCACCCATTTCTACAATAGAGCTGATCGCACATATGCTGCAAGACATCTCTTAGTGTGATACCATTTGTAAACCAAATAAGTTCTTCAACCAACAGATCCATGCTTTTTAAAAAGTTTCTTTAGAGGAGGTTCCCCGGCTGTCACTAGGAAATGATCCTCTGCCAAAACTAGCCACATGCAGAGCTAATGCACATTTGTCTCCCACAGCTACTCCCTGCGGAATTATGGGGTGAACACAGCTCAACGCTGTGCCATTCTAGAGAAGGTAGAACCATATCCATCTTAAAATGTACTTGATCCACCTTTATTAAGCCTTTAGATCACCAAGTTGACCATTATATTCCCAAAAAGGAGATCAGCATAGCATCAGGATCTAAGAACAGAGAAGGAACATTTATCTTAAGATCATATAATCAAGATTGCCCACGGTGACACTT